TGTCGGAGAACACAGCGGAGATGTCACTGTGAGCAGCGGCGGCACTCTCCTACGATCGTCGACAGACGCTATTGTGAACCGAAGCGTCGCGATGCTGCAGTCCGTCGACACTACCGTTCGCAGTAGCATCGCGCTGATTGATGCCGGCGACTCATCACGGCGCGGCGGCGACTGCGACTTTGCAGATGGGTAACTGATATCATTCTTCTTCATTTTTTTTATTATATATTTATTTATTTATTTGCGGTTTGGCGCGGTTGTGGTGTTGGTGGTGTTGTTGTGGTGGTAGTGTTTTGGAGTTTTAGGTATTTTTGTTAGTTTGTGTAGGTAGATGAGTTGGTGGCTATAACGGATCAGCGGCGATTTTGGTGAGGTTGTGGGGTGGTGCATTGTTGGGTGTGTTTGGTGGGGGGGGTTTTGGATGTGATTGTGGTCCTGGTGGCTGTGGTGGTTTCTGGTAATAGTCGTGTAGGCATTGGAGACACTGGTTATGTTGGTGAGGTTGTGGGTTAGGTATTGCTGGTTTTGCAGGTGGAGGGGTCGACTGTGCGGTCGACGATGGTGGTGGTGGCGCGGTGGATTTAGGCAGGATACAGGCGGTAGAGGTGAGTCTTGTGACGGGCTAGTGTGATATGTTTGTAGTGGTCGTGGCGATAGTGTAGAGGTGGTAGATCTGACGGATCTGATGATTTTGATTTTCTGTGACTAAAAATATAAGCTGTGACCTTAAAATTCGGTAATCCGTGACTAAAAATATAATCTGTGATCAACCATTTTGTTATCTATGACCTAAAAATTATATAATCTGTGATCGTGAAAAAATCTATGACCAACTAATTTGGAAATATGTGACTGTATGACCTATAAATTTTGATTTGTGACAAACTAATTTTGAAAATATGTGACCAACGAATTAATTGTGACCTACAAAATTTTTGAATTGTGACCATAAAATAATTTGTGACGTATAAAAAATTATTATTTATGACTGAAAAATAATATGTGACTATTTAAATTGTGAATCTGTGACCATATTGTATAAATTGTCAAAATCGGAGCAGTCGTCGAAATAAAGCTGCGGCGAAACGGTAACCGGAATAGTCGCCGGAATAATTGTCGGAATCAGAGCAGTCGCCGGAATAATCGCCGGAAAAGAGTGGTGGTCGGAACGGTCGCCGGAATAATCCCCAAAATGGTAGGGATGGTGGAAGTGGGGTGAGTTAATTACATGATATTAGAATTAAATATTTAATAAATTTATTTAATAATTAATTAAAAAAATTATTTTTAATTAATAAATAAATACCTGAGTTTTGCATTTTGAAACTTGAC